CTAAGATTCCAAGCTTCAGTCTGGAAAAAAGTCTCTGTCCTTTGTAAGAGCCATGATATGGGGCAGACTATGTAAGCATTCTTTGGTCAAATTGTTATGCAAGAAACAAATCTGTCCCTTTCATTTAGCCACAAGGAATAAAAGAGTGAGTGGTATGAGCAGCTGAGTATAAGACGGGGAGGGACACATTGTGAGGTGGTGAAGGGAGGGAAGGAAGGATGGAAAAGTGGTACAAGAGGCTAGGGTGTGAGATGAGGCAAGGGAAAGAATAGAAGGAAAAAGACAGTTTCAAAAATGAATGTGCTTAATTTGCATAATTAGAATGAATATACTTTGAATAATTTGCATAATGTGCAAATTCGATGCCTTGATCTGAGGAAATGAAACATGGGAACCCTACCAAAACCTGTCTTTCTTGTGCATGTGACGTGGTGAATTATTTTGTCCTCAAAAAGGATACTAGATGTGTATTGCACACCTGATCTGAAGGCAACACAGCAGATGGGCAGCAGGGAGTGCATCAGTGCCATTAGATAAGCCTGTCATAGACACCTGAACATCAAGAATCTGGATTTGTCAGAGTTGCCTATTGTTCCACTAATACACTACAGCTTGTTTTCCTCCTAAATATGGGAAGAGGAGGGACATTTAGAAGTGGACATTCCTGGCTTCTGGGAGATTTTTTCATACTTCCACTTGTAGCTTGAAAGTTTTGGTTGGCCTCACCCTTACCTCTCCCAGTACAGAGAGGGGAACAGTTGGTTCTTTTTGCCATCATACCAATGTGTATTTGACAACCAAAGTGGTGTAGTGGTTTCGGTGCTGGACTAGGACTCTAGAGACCAGAGTTCAAATCCCCCCTCAGCCCTGGAATCTTACTCAGTGACCTTGCACAAGTCACACACTCTCAGCCTCAGAGGAAGGCAAAGGAACCCCCCTCTGAACAAATCTTGCCAAGAAAACCTTACGATAGGATAAAGACAACTGATTGGATTTAAGTCAAGTTCTCCTAAACTGTCCATGTTAGGGGGGTTGCAGACTGCCAGAAATAGTGCAAATTCAGTCCACTTTTAGGGTTAGGGTTAGGGCTAAGGAATCATGGGAACTGTATTTTATTGTGGCACCAGAGCTCTCTGACAGAGAAGGCTTAATGTCTCAGAAAAAAAACAATTCTCATGATTCCCTAGCACTAACCCTAACCCTAAAAGTGAACTCAATTTGCACTATTTCTGGCAGTCTGCAACCCCCCTTATTCTGTCTCAAACTGCATGAGTATGTTCTGCTTAATTTCTCAATCTTCTCCTATCCCAAAGAGAGTTTTTATTAGCAATTCAAAGCTTGCTCCTGTAATCAAATGCACAATTCCTTTCTTAACTATCTAATAAAGAGCTTATATTTCCAAGGGCAAGCCCATTTAATCCATGCATGAAAAGTTAGCAGGCATGTGTGGTGTATGTATTGTAAAACAAAAGAAAATATACAATACATAGGTTTGCCCGAGTGAAAACTGGAGTGGGCTCCTGTACCCTTAATAGTTATGCAGAAGAGTGATTTTCAGCTGATTGAATGACAAGCAACACTTGATAAAATCTTGCCAAGAATTTTCATTTTCGGGATTTTTGAGGATTTGAAAAGATCAGGTTTTTGTTCGAATTAACCCCCTTTTAAATTCGAATTTAGTTATCAGACGAGGCGGAACGGGACAAATCCTGTAAATTGAAGTCTTTCGCTCATCTGGTTTATTTCCACTTTCTCCCCGCAACTCCCCATGTGATAATGTCCATAATAGGGTCGCCATAAGCTGGAAATGCCTTGTAGGCACACAACAACAACCTTAACCTGAGTATAGGTTGGGGTGGGCACCATATGCTGCACAGGCAGCAAAAACGTCAAGCCCTCGCACAGACTTTCAAAATCTACCTTCCAGAAGGTACTTCAGGGAGTAGAAGAGGAGAGGAAAGCCTGTCTATGGAATGTTAGATTTAGTGATAATTCGCAGCACCAGTATTTGGTGATAAAAATCACCCTTACTTTATTTATGTTTGTCATGGAACAAGAGACCATTGTCTTAATTCAAGCCTAAACAAGATCAAACTTCTTAATCATTTCTAATTCAGCAATTTCCCAATAAACTCTTTTGTCAATGAATGGAAACTTTTCTGGAAACAATAATAATAATAATAATAAATTTTATTTATAGCCCGCCCCTCTGCGGAGCAATCGAGGCGGGTTACATCAATTAAAAAAACAGAAGGTACAGAAGTTAAAAGCAATCACATACCCATCCAACCCTCCCACCCCTTAAAACAGTATTAAACTAATTATCAATTAAAACAACATGCTCCGAAACTAATAAATAACAAAACAAAACAAATACTAATATTCGTCAGTTAACAAAGCAAATGTGTTCCTGCGCATTACTTCTTTAACAGGAAATTAGGTATCAGAGGTAGAAATAACATGAAAAGGATTGGTATAGGTGCCTGCATCACTAAAAAAGAAGGCCAGTTCAATATGTTTCATCAGATGTTTTATTCAAAACTAACAATATGCACATTTGAAAGGAAACAACCAAGTCAGGTAAGCCTTGCACAAGTAAGCAAAAACATTCTGAATCTTCCAGAGACCCTTTAAAACTTCTTCCAGCATGCATGCAGGGATTAATTTTAATTTCTTTGCCTTCAGTCTTGTTATGGATTCTACTTTGGTTATGGTTCCGATGAGGCAGGATTATCTGCTTTTCTCCTTTCTCTCTGTTTTGTTGTTAGGAAGGCATTCTGGCAGCTGAAAAACAGATCCTGGCAGCAACGGCTCTTCTTCTTGCCTATTGTAAGCAGGCACACAAGGCTTGGAAGACAAAGGCAAACTCCTTTGAACAAATTTTGCCAAGAAAAACCTCTGATAAGTCAGAAACAACTTGAAGGCACACAACAACAATACATGTCTATAGTAGGACTGTGTAGAGTAGAATCCTGTTCTTTCCTAGATCAACTTTTATTGCATTGCTTACTGCAGCAACATTGATGCAACTCAACATTGAATATCTGTTTCTCCAGCTCTCCTTCACAATCCCCCCCAATGTGGATGCTGCTAAATTACTTCCAGCTAGACAGAGGACAAGAATGAAAAATGGGGATGGGGACTTGGTTGTAATGAAAAGATCTTCCTTATGAAAGTCTTTTTTAACCATAGTTGGATCTGTACTGTTGATCACATCCATTGGGGTCAAGTACACAGTAATTTCAACTGAGGAGGCAGAGTGTGGCCCTTCTTCTTCTGTTTTCCTGAATAAATGGAAGAATACTGGAGACCTCTTAGGGTGCATCTACACTGTAGAAATAATGCTGTTTGATACCACTTTAACTGCCATGGCTCCAACCTACAAAATTTTGGGATTGCAGTTTTGTGAGGCATCAGCACTCTTTTACTGAGAAAGCTAAAAACTTTGCAAAAGTAAATCCCAGGATTCCATAAAATGGAACTTTCTTGCTGCGGTTGTGTGCCTTCAAGTTGTTCCCAACTTATAGTAACCCTAAGGGGACCCTATCACATTTTGGGGGGACAGGTTTCTTCAGAGGGGGGTTGCCATTGCTAACCTCTGAGGCTGAGAGAGTATGACGTAGTGGGTTTACATGGCAGAGTCAGGATTTGAACTCTGGTCTCCAGAGTGATAGTCCAACACTCAGTCCACTATACCACTCTGGCTAAGATGGGGCTCAGACCTCAAAGGCAATGGCAATTTCCCTCTGAAGAAACTTGCAAAGAAAATCCCAAGAAAACTTGCCAAGAAGACAACAAACACTGTAGATGCACTCTTAGAAACATGATGGTAGAATTCAAAGACATAACCATGTTGGTCTGGAAAATCAGTATGCAAAGGCATCTTGTAGCACCTTTGAGACAAACAGAAAGAAAGAAGTTGGTAGCTTGAGCTTTTGTCGACTTGAGTCTACTTCCTCAGATCCCTGTAGGCTCAAGTCTATGAAAGCTCATGCTACCAGCTTCTTTCTTTCCATTTCTCTCAAAAGGTGCTACAAAATCCCTTTCCTTAGAAACATGAGTATGCAAAGAGATCTTGCAGCTAAAGAGAGGGGCTGGTACCATGAGCTTTCCTAGACTTGCGGACTGCCAGAAATAGTGCACTTTAAATTGAGGCACTGCCCTGGCTCAGTGCTAGGGAATCATGGGAACTGTAATTTATTGTGGCACCAGAGCTCTCTGTCAGAGAAGGCTCAATGTCTCAGAAAAAAATACAGTTCCCATGATTCCCTAGCACTGAGCCAGGGCAGTGCCTCAATTTAAAGTGCACTATTTCTGGCAGTATGCAAAGGCCCTTAATTTTGCTTGCATGGGAGATTGGTGCTATGGTTCTATAGTTGTTGCAGTCTCTTGTGTTTCCTTTTTTTGTGGATGGGGATGTATATTGATTGCTTCCAATCTGTTGCCCATAGGGAAACATTGGCCATAGGGAATACTTGCCCAATATATTTGCCATATACTTGCCCATAGGGAAACACTTGTCCATAGGGAAACACAGGAGCATACTTGTTCATAGGGAAACACAGGATACTTGTCCATATGGAAACATAGGAAGACACTTGTCCATAGGGAAACACAGGAGGATACTTGCCAATAGGGAAACATATGTTTTCCTATGGATAAGTGTTCTACATTTCCCCGTGGGCAAGTATTCTCCTGTGTTTCCCTATGGGCAAATACTATCCTTTGTTTCGGTTCCATGATTTCTAGTGTGGATGCATCCCTTGCATACAGAGAAAGAATATCCCTGGGATCCAGAGAGGCGCTGTGCCTCCGCAGGGGGCGCCAGAGAGCCGTGGCGGCCGAAGAGGCTTGGAAAGCGCGCTCCCTCATGGAGCGCCTTCGGAGGAAGCTCGGGAGCGCGCTCGGCCCGGGGACCGCCTTTTGTCTGCTCCGAGGCGCGCTCCCGGCGCCCAAGAGCTGGAGGGCGGGGCTGGCCGCGGGGGCGCGCCTGTGTGAGTGTGTCATGGAGTTCTGTTTCCTGTTGTGAAGCGGGCGCCTGGAGAAAGAGGAGGAAAGGTCTCTAGTTGCCATGGGTGTCTCCTGGAGGGCTCCCTGGGCCTCCCTGCTCCTCTTCCTGTTGTACTTCTGCCTGCTTTCCCTGCCTCTGGAGAACCTGGTCCTGGGAGCTCCCTCTCCAGCGGAGCAAGGAAGTAAGAAGAAGGGAAGGAGGGAGGGAGGGGACTGGGGAGATAGAGTTTGTATTTATAGCTTTATTCATAGACTCATAGAGTTGGGAGAGACCCCCAAGGGCCATCCAGGCCAGCCCTGTTCTGCCATGCAGGAACTCAC